ACCAAGGATTGAACCTGGGCACCTGCGCTCTGCCTAAGCAGGTGTGTTAATCCCCTGAGCTATCTGGCCAGTTCTTCCAACAAAATTTTTTTTTTCCAACAAAATTTTTGATTGTGATGGAAAGTTCTATGTACATACAACCAAACAAGGTAGCTACTAAGCTTAAACACATGCCTAGGGCTATTAAAGAACTGAAATTTTATTTTGCAGGAAGGGGTGATGCTGGGGACTGAATTGAGGGCTATGGCCTTTGAATTGAGTTACAGTCCAGTCTTTTTTGGAGAAAGGTGTTTGCTAAGTTGCTAAATGACTAGGCTGCTCAAAATTGCAATCTTCCTGTCTTAGCCTCTCTAACTGCTGAGATCACAGGTGTGTACCACCCTGCCTGGATGAAATTCAAACAGCCAACTGCAGCTAGTGGTCATCTACTGGACAGTGCCTGGGCTCCCCTTTCTCTGATCATCCCTTCAATGGTATAGAAATGCTCTGTTCTTTTTTCCTTTCTAAAGCTCTGTTCTTGAACCTCTTCTTTACTTATTCCAGGTACATCTTCCTGTTAAGGATTCTCTCACCTCTCTAAGAGACTCAGACCTCTCTCCTCAGGAACATTTCACCTATAACTGCCCATACTTTCACCTGGAAGTACCACAGGCATTTCCAATGTAATATTTTTTGAACTGAAATGAATCAGCTCACTGTCCCTCTTGGACAGTCTCTACTCAAAGAATGCACCACATCTATCTTAGCTCCACACCGAATACAGGTAGTTCATTTTAGATCACTTCCTCTCTTTCTTTCCTTTTTACTCCCTTTCAATCTCCTCTCCTCCCCCAATAGCTCATTAAATTTGACCCCCAGTTTCTGTTGCCAGTGCTCTAGGCCAGAATGTAACACAGTAGATCTAATTGAAAGAGTAATGGAGTGTAGTTTTTGCTTCAAGCAAGATGTAAGTGTAACATGGCTGGAAAATTCTTTTATATCAAAGTTTTTTATTCCTGTTGGAAATGTGACATAACATAAAACTAAGCTACTAAAGTAAAAAGAGAACACTACAGTCAAATCTCTGATAATCTGTGCCTAAAACAACCAAAAGAAATCCCTCATTAGCGTTCCACATTTCTACTAGTAATACATAAAAATGTATACTAATTTTGAAGTTTGAAATTTGTTACTGGCTTATCTCTTGGCAAAAGGACCAACTGCTAACTCATTTAACCAAAGTGTAACCATAACTCAGATGTTTCTCCCATGTGATGCTCTCTGCCATGCCTCCCTGCTGTGGTGCCAGTCATTATGGACGGAGACCTCTACAAACTGAGCTGAAATAGAACTTTCCTCTTTCAACACTGGGTATTAGATATTTTGTCTGAGCAATGAGAAAAATAACTCATTATTCAAACTTCATCATGAAGAAATTACAACAAGAATTAGTACTGGGATTTTTACATGCAGGATTACACTAGCTAGTAAAGAAAATAGCCCAGAGTGAAATGTATAATAAGTACTAAGGTGATAATAATAAAAATAAAAGAAAACAGTTTCTCAAAATCTGAAATCAATAGTTACTCTGCTCTGATGAGGACTTATTTGAGGTCTGTCTCCTGGTGATTTCTTGAGACTTCTGAAAATAGTGACATTTTGTCTAGAATAGTTTCCAAAATCCTGGTTGACTGCACGCATTTCCTGAATTACTATGAAGAACAGCAAGTATTTTCACTGACAACTTGTTTTTTCAGGATTATAGAAAAGAAAATGATGTCTGATTATCTTCATTCACAAAGGTAATTTTCTAATACTAGCAATGGCACTAATAAATCCCACAGAACAAACACATCACTGGTTAGGAGGAACTTCTCATGATGATATTTTTGGAGTGCTATTTCATAACTGTATTAATACATTTACTTAGCTTTGTAATTTGTCATAAAGATTTTCACATTATCCCAGGGAGAGTACATGCTGTGAATAAAAATGACATGAAAAAAGACAGGCTGGAGGAATCCTGGCTCTACCACAATTCAGGTGGAAGAGCCTTACAAACTCAATGAATCAAAGGATTATAGACTGGTTTATAAGAAAATAAGTTTTAACAATTCAAAACAAGTATTACCAGAAAAAAAAACCCTCATATTAAATAAAAAATAATTTTAAATTAGGTGTGGTGGCCCATGCCTGTAATCTCTTCTGGGAGAATGAGGCTGAAGGTTTACCAAGTTCAACCCCAATCTGGTTGATTAATGAAACCCTATGTTAAAAATAAAAAAGGCAGCTGAGGACATAGTTCAAAGTTTACAAAATAATAAGTCAATGACAATGGTAGTAGTGGCACTGAAGTCTGAAGAGCTAGAAGCATATAATTGTAAGGATGAGTAAACTCAAGGTATCTAGAAGTCACATGATACATGGAAGCACTGAAGAAATTAGACATACTTAGCATTTACTATTTCTTCATGCTGAACATACACTACCTGCACCATTACTTTTAAATATCCAGCCTTCAAGATACATGGTGCTTCCCCTTCTCCAAGTCTTTCTTGATCATCCCAGCTAGATATAATTTCTGCCTATACTGAATTCTCATGTATTCACATATACTTTTTATGAATCTTCTCAATTTCTGTTACAAAACAAATTATTTTGTTGTATTCTGCAAGACAAAAATTTTTTGTAACAAAAAATAAATCAGTATTTTATTCAACTTTAGTGATCCTACAGAGTATACTAGGGTACTCTGACAAAGTACATACTCCTTCCAATTTTAGAGAAAAGGGCATATACTTTTCACCTTCAAAGTTAACTCCTCATTCTGTTCTTTTTCATTCTGAACTTTCTACCTGGTTCTGTCAATTATTTTTCTTTCTTCATTCTCATCTTCCCTCATGATTCTTTCCTTTCAGCCTAATCAACATTCAAATTTCCTCAAAGAAACACCTAGTCATCACTATGGCACTTCTTTGTATCTGCTCTGGAATTATCACTAGCTATACAGAATCAGTTATCATTGTGCTTGGTTTTTTTCTCTTAAAGGATCAAGAGTCTCATCTATTTGTCTGTCTGTCCGTTCATCCGTCCATTCATCCTTCCTTCTCTTCTTCCCTCCCTCCTTCTCTTTCTTTCCTCAGGTAGCCTCAAACTTTTTTTCCTTCTATTTTCTCCCTCTCTCCCTTTCATTTACTTTTGTTTTTTTGAGACAGGGTCTCCCTATATAGTTCAGGCTGGCCTTGACTTCATGGTAATCCTCCTGTGTCAGCTTCCCAAATACTGGGATTATAGGCATGTTCCACCACGTCCAGTAGGCCTCAAACTTTTGACCCTCCTATTGTGGCCTCTGAAGTGCTCAGTTTTATCTTATATAACTCTGTAAAAAGCTTTAGGGCTCAACACATACAAGGAATTGCTTACATTTTGTTTTATTTTATTGTAGTTCATGAAAAATATTACTTGGAGGATGCAAATTTCAAGCTTGTCTTTATTTACTAGCTGGTTTTGTGCTTCTATTTCCTATTCCTTGAAAAAACATCTAACTTGTCATAAGAACTTCAATTGAATTCAAGTAATGTGTACAGTGGTTAGGATTAATAAAAAACATGACTGGGGTTTTATTAAATGTTATAGGTGCTCAATAAATTACAGTTACAAAAACTGTGGGAGAGTGAATATTCCCCAAGAGTTTGATAAGGTGGATATTCTTGTGTTGTCTAACTGTTTTATGAGTCTGTTTTGTCTTGTAAGGTGTCTTCAGGCACAAGTCAGCCTCCCATGTAGTTGACTGTTCTGTCTCTGTAAACAAGCCCCATGGCTTTGTCAGTGGCTACTACCAGATAAAGAAATATGTGGTCCAAACAGGACACAGAAATGTCAGGAAGAAAACTGGCTAACAATTCAGACAAATACAACTTTATCCCTCTCCCCTCTTAGAAGACAGCACAGCAGACAGGTGGCTAACCTCAGAGGAATAGAGACATGGTGACTACACAGGCTGAACGTGTAAGCCTCACAGCTCAGTTTCACATGAAGATGCAGGTACTGGACTTTTTAGAGATAAAAGCTGAACAAGCATCTAGAAGGACAGGACAGCTTATAATAAAAAATGAGCAGCCAGCAAATGTTTACTGATTTAACTAATCCATTTACTACAAATTATAATGTAGTTCCTATAACACCCCTGGAAAATTAAGATAAAGATCCATAGTAAGAGTCTTCTGTAGGACACAGATTTACAGTATGGGCTGTGGAGACAAACTGTCCTTTTTATGGATGTACCTGTCTTTTCTGGGGCTTTAATTTTCTCATTTATACGAAAATTTTTTCCTGATAAAAGGTTTAATCCAATTTAAATTAAAACTTTTTTTTTCTTTCTTTCTTTTTTTTTTTTTTTGGTAGAACTGGGGATTGAACTCAGGTCCTTGTGCTTGCCAGGGAAGCACTTATTCCACTGAGCCCTCTCCCTGGCAAATTAAAACTTTTAAGAATACAGAACATATAGGAATGTGTGTTTAAAACTACTGATACTATCCAATTTCTATCAAATGTGGCATGGATCAGATTTACTATTTTGATTAGTATCTATAACAAGACAAACTTTAAAGATACGGTTACTACGGAACTAGCACTGTTATCTCATTTAATAGTCATAATGTTCTATGAAGTATCCCAGTTTGTTACTGAATAAATTAAGTCTCAAAAATATTGGAGAACCTGCCTGAAGTCACAGTTACTACACACCAAATTCATAACTCATACAATTATCTGACTCATAGGACTGGTCCCATAACTACAATGTAGCTGCTCTAATAGATGGAAATAGAAAGATGAAGCAATCTGCAGAAGAAAGTTAGATAATATTAAATAAACACAATTCTGATTCCTGCAAGTACTAAATCATATTTGGCAAGACAACTGCAAATTGTTTTGTATTTGCCAAACATGTATCGAAGTGGAAAATTTCTTTCTTTTTAATTCTATTAGATGTGTTAAAAAGATGAATCGAAGAACCTTACCTGTGTTGCCATCTGTACTCTCCACAGATGGTTTACTGGTTTCTGACGGATTGTTCATTCTTGAGTCTGTAATCAATCAGAAAAAGCATTTTTAAAACCTAGGGATAAAGGTTCAAAAGTGGCAAACCTGTGGTAGAGGAAAGCATTCACTAATATGATTCAAGAAACAGCACATGTGTCAGGCTAATATTTCAAAATTATAAAAGTTTGCCTCAAGAAAATCTAGGATTCTCTAGACCTGGATTTCTGAAGTCATCCACAAATTATCCTTCTAAAGAATTTTAAGATTATTCTAACATTCCCTAAATGTAAGGCAGAACTCTTATCTGAATAAAAATACTAGAGTCTGACATACAGAAAGAATAAGCACTTTATAACACTAACTGTGGGGCCAGGGAGATAGCTCAGTAGAATAAGCGCTTGCCTGGCAAGTACAGGGTCCTGAGTTCAATCCCTGGTACCGAAAAAAAAAAAAGAGTGTAACACTAAGTGTATGTTAAAGAAATAAAACTAGCGAAGTACTTGAAAAAGTAAACAAAAAGCAAACTAAAAAAATTCTATTATTTCCAAATGAAGTACCTTATTCCATAAGCAAATTTATTCATCATTTATAACTTCATACCGCGTGGACAGTAACGTAATCTACTGGAATCTACTGGGCTAAAAGAAAATATTCCTAAGAGAAATATTTCCATTTTATTTTATTTCCCTACCCAACCAAAGTAAAAGTGAAAGTGAGAATATGTCAAATGCAAACCTAAATTATAAATCAGTATAAAAAGTTGTTCCAGAAAGCCTAACAGGTATCTCTAATAATTTCAACACTGAATCACAATTACATCCATTTAAAAATTATATTACCTTGATACTGCATATAAATCTCCTAAATTTGAGTTTATCAGTTTTGGTGGTATCCATTTAATCAAGGCTTATTGTATTCCAAAAATACAGATGAGACAAAAGCAATATTACTTTTTCTGAAAGTAGTGAAAAAGATTAAAATATTCCTCTTGTACTATATCTACTATAAAATCAAACTTAGAATATTTACAATCAAACAAGTTAATTATTAAGTAGGTTCTGCCTTTTTTCCTCCAAGTTAACAATTTTAACAGTAGTTATCAGTAAAGAACTAATACTTAACTCACTATATCTGATTTTTAAACCAAAGACCACATTTTTTTCCAGTAGAAAATGTAAATGATTTACTTTAGGAAATCAAAACCATCACTGGAAGTCTCAACCAGACTAGCCACACTTGTATTATCTACATGCTTAAGAGATATAGAAAAAAAAAATCAGGAATCCATTCATAAATTTAATTTCTATCCTAGAAACTGTAATAGATTTTCTGATATAGTTAAAATTTTGCAGCTGATAGCTTTTCTTATGGGATTAGGCAGTGCTATCATTATGTATAGTACATTCTTCAGATTTTTGAAGGCTTAAAATTTGTGTCTCGGGTCATAAATAAATTCTATAACTTCCTTCTGCCACTGTCCAGAAAAATTTACATACCATCTGAAAGCATACTAAGGCTTGAAATGAACAGGTGTACAACTTAGTGAAAATCAGCTTTCTAAATGACTTACCATACTCTTATGAAAGTTAACAAAGTTCATAACAATTTGCTAGAATAAACTTTTATGGAAGCTTAATATTTCCTTGAGTTTTATAGAAAGCAGAGAAGAGTCAGTCAGTTTATATTAAAAAAAATCACAAAGACAAAATAAGTACAATTTTTAACAAGTCATGACCCTGACCTTACATAATTCATATAATTACTGCATCTGTAAATAACAAATTATGTCAGAAATACTTTGTTATTTATGTCATTTTATGTTAAATCTACAAAATTGTCAAGAGTGTTGAAGTGGTTTAACATTCAAACATACAGAAAAAAATAATAAAAATCTGATTGCACAATGATAAGATTATTTCAATGATATAGTCAACATAATTTCTAATTGTAAAAAAAAAAAAACAATCCTAAAATTATCCCCCAAAGATATTTTCTTTACCTGAATTCCCAACTTACTAAATGTAAAAGAGTAAATAAAAAATAAATTCTTCTTGATGTCTAATTTTTTTTCCGGGCAATATTAAAAATACATGTCTTTCTCGACTAACTTTACATAATGAATGTAATATATAGTCTATTAAGTCATTATTAAATTCCTGACATCAATTTGTTGTCTATGTCAGACACTCTTTATATAGTGAGTTTTACTGTGATGGATAATAATTACTACTACCTTTGGTTTAGGCCATGTCTTTTGCATAACAATTTAAACATCCTTCAGTGTAATCAATTTACTGTACTTCATCCTTAGCAACTGTGAAAGTGATAGATGAAGGCTCAGTTTTCAAGGGGGGGGGGGAATGACTGATACACAAGAAAAACAAGCTGCAAATTTTAAACTTAAGATATCCAATGCCTGGAGTTCAGATCATCTGCCTTTCCTGCTAACTACAGTGACCTAAAAAAGGTTTCAGTAATTCTGCATGTAAACAAATAGAACTTCATACAAAATATGGCCATACAAGCCATCCTATGTATAAATACCAAGGTGTCTCAACCTAATTTAGTCACCAATATTCAAATAGGAATCTCCTTTTCTAGAAGGCTGTTATTCTATGCGGAAAACTCTAAAATTTGGCCTCACAATAGTTAAAACTTTAGTATTCTGAAGAACATAGTTGGTTTTTCAAAGTAAAAAAGAAGGCTAATCTCACAAAATTTGCAAAGAGCAAACAATTTCTACAATGTAGAAATTGATCAGCACATCTAGTCACCACTGCAATTGCTCTCTGTATTAACATTTATAGGAACAATTCTGCACAACTGTTCCACTTTATTTTTCACTTAGTATTTTTGTATGAGTCATTCTCATTAGGTATGCAAAACCACTGGCTAATATGTACATATTATTTAAGTTTATACTTTGTTCGATTTAAAATGTTCTTAGAGCTACATGAAATGTTCTCCACAGAAATTCCCAAAAAGCAAAAATGTCTTCTATTGAAGCCGAATTCTAAATTTACCCTATTTACTGAAAATACTGCACCCTCTGAACCAGAAGAGCTGACTGTAGGGAGAGACCTACAGCGAACTGTATGCCTGTGCTGTGCAAATGCTTTCCTCCTTCCCTGTTCAATCCACCTCTCCCCCTCCCCAGAGCTGGTTGCATATGTGATTAAGCATTTATGCATAGTCAACTCTCCACATGCTATTTCCATATTAAAGCTCTAAGAACAAACTGAGCTGGTACCCACCTAGAACATAGTCACTGCAGTCCAGCATTGCTGTGAAATCTTCTAGAGGTGAAGACAGTCCAAAGCAAGGAAGAAACAGGTATCGGTGTGGGGCGGGGAAGGAAGGTACTACTATTTCTAACAAATCTGTAGTATGTTCTTCAGAGAACAAGGGTGGGGGGAGTGGAAAGTGGATTAAAGGGAGAAGCAAAATACAACTTCAGTTACACCATAGCAATCTTCAACTGAATAAGGAAACTTCAGTTGCTCAGAGGAGTTTTAGTCTCTCCTACCAGCTAGGACTGACATTGTCAAGGCAACTGAAGCATGAAAAGTTCCCCTTTTTGTAATAAAATAGAAACAAAGATTGCAGCTGGCAGTTTCCATAATGAAGCTTAATCAGTATGCGCGTGATTAGGGCCTTATGCAAATCTCTCCTCGTTAGCACAGCAGCCAGCACTTTGAAGTCCATGAACAATTCATTTACAGAATACACTGAAAGCACTCCCTGCATAATTTAAATCACCACATAAATATTTATCAGCTCATTTGCATATTAATTGGCAGTGCATGAAGGGAAAAATTATCTCCTGAGTGCCAGCATAATAATTAGGAGGATAAAATGAGATTTCTTCCAATAGCCTGGCTTCCTGGACCTAACTTGAGATAGTACCAGGGGAGAAATGAGGGACAGGAGAAAGAGTTCTGTTGAAATGCCACAGAAATGACATGTACAAATTAGAAACAACTCTACAGACTTAAGCACCTTTAATCTTATTCCTGCTGGCAACAATGACTTCAGTAATAAGAAGATTTGCAAAAAGCTTTCTACACAATCCAAATAATCCCAAGGAAACAATTAGCAAGGTAGAGGCAGAACACAGGGCTGTCAAGATGGTGCTAGTCTACTGATAGGGAATTTTTCAGTTATTAACACACACCTTCAGGAGAAAGTCCTACTTCAACAGAGCAATGGTATAAATGTAGAAATAAGGTAGAGGGTATGAAAGTATCTTTGAGAGGACAGAAATTCATTATCTATAAATCTCTCTATACTAAATTAACAGAATAGATTAGTTGAATGTTATATATTATGGCAATATCCTCCCAACAAATCTATTTCACATAAAAAGTCTGTTATTCAAAATACACATCTGTGAAAATTTGGTCATGTGAACTGTGACATTACTTAGTATTCTAAAGTAAATTTCACTTAATAGGCCCATCCTTACTAAATAACACGCATATTAATTTCAAGTGAGTTTATAAGATACATCATCAACATAAAACCTTTCAGGTATTATAATATGACATTATATCCTAATCATCACAGAAAATTCAAGAGAAGATACATAAAAACCCAGTAAGTGGGCATTATTATACCCACTTTTAGGAATAAGGATGCTGAGGCACAGAAAAATAAAGGACTTTTTACATAGTGTTACATTCATAATTTGGAGTTGAGATTTAAAGCCAGATTTTGCTGACACCAAATCTGAGCTCTCGGCTATTACTATGCATCATACATGAATTATACATTCAGGAAAAAGGGGGGGCTAGAGCAGCAGGATAAAATGGTTTGTTTTCAGTACAGGGAGGAAGGAGACCACTATACGGTTGCTACTGGTGGAAAAAAAACATTGTGTATACTACATACAAGGAGAGTTTTCAAAGATGTCATTTTATTAATAACCTGCTTTTATTTAGAGCCTGTCTTCAAGCATGCCAAATATCTGATTTTTAAAATATATATTATGTAGCTTTCTCCAACATTAAGGTTGAAATTCAACTTGACAGGCATGAGGAAATGA